TGAGTAGCACTTGAAATGTTTTTGCTCTATGAGGCTTGATGTACTTATATGATTCTGTTTTCGTCAAGTTTGTATTTTGTTGGTCGAACGCACTTAATGTAAGTCGCTTTGGATAAAAGCGTCAGCTAAATGCAATGTAATGTAAAAATTAGAAAGCTGAGAGCAGGCTGATCAGTAGTAGTAGGTGTGGGAAAAGGCTAAACCATGTCAGGTTGTCAGTCACATCACATACACAGAAGTTCTGCTGTTTGGAATACTGTCATTTAAGGACATTCAAACAGATACCCTTGAATAGCCTGTCTCAGCTTTCTCAATGTATTATAACTACATAAAATAGTGTTAGTAGAACGTTGAACAGCTTAACATAGATGTAGGGTACAAAACCTGCACTTACCTAACACTGGCCAATACAAATAATTGGACCCTACATGGATTATACTAACCATTCAGTAAAGAGCAGCAGCCGTCACAACCAGTTTCTGGAGTTTCCATGAAAGCAGAGACGGTTTTCAACCTCTCATTAAGAATCTTTGATGAAAGCTAAGTTTAGGTTTAGCTAATGTATTTATCATTTTACACGAGAGGGTTACAAAACGAAAATAAGTCTGTAGCCCCTTCATGCTACACACACATAACTAGCTACCAGTTGATGTGAGCAAATGTATTGTCACTATGTAATCTGTTGCAACACGTCAGCTAGCTGGGCTTATTTGAATCCTAAATCACAAGTTACCTACTCTTGCCACATCAAAACATGAACCTGATTGAGGCTTTGAACCGATTAACACTTTTTATTTTCCTCCCTACTCTGAGATCGTGAGGCATGTCATGCTTTCTCATGGACCTGTAACAGCTAGCCCTGATGCTCACTCTCCATGAAGGTAGATCTTTGTTTGAAACTGTGGGGAATTGGATAGCATTCATGTTATCCAAAAAAACGTAATAGTACATCATTAAAACGCTTTACACTGTATCAAGACTGTCAATTTGTCAAAGTTAGCCAGTAATTACAGCTTTGTTTGTCACTTACCTTCATAATTGTCGACGTAGCTGGATATGTAGCTACATCTTGAACCCCTTTTCTCTTTTGCTCCTCGGGCTGAGGCTGCCGCTTGTACCAGCCGATGTACATCACTGATGTTAACCTTCGGTAGGTCTTGGAGACATCGAGTGTAAAATAGTGTCTATATCATATCTATACGCTATCTCTCTCGCTATCTATCGCTCTTCCCTCTACCGCTCTACTGTAGACCGGAAGTTTACAACCGCACACCCAGCCGCCGGAAGTTGATAGATGCCATCTTGTGCAACTAGCCCATAGCAGCAAGCCAAATAAAAGGAAACATGTTGTAGTTCCACCTCAAATGGATCATCTGCTGGGTCCATTTCTTGGTCGGTTCGTACTGTTACGGTGTGTGTAGGAAGCAGGACCCAAATGCAGATTAAAGTGACAAAAAACTCCTTTATTTCAAGGCTATACTATTAAATAAAGACTAACCAGAACACTCACCGAGGAACAAGCCATATCACAAGATTAACTGACAAAGACAGACAGAAAAACCAGAACTTAAATACACACAAGACTAATCATACAAACAAGACACAGGTGAGGAGGGAGGAGAAAACACAGGGACACCAGGTGAACACAATCGGGTAAATTAGACACACCAGGGAAACTGACAGGGAACCACAGACAGATCTAAACAAGACAAAACACAACGCAGACAGAAAACCAAAGACAGATCTAGACAAGACAAAACACAGACAGATCGTGACAGTAATGTCAGCTAATGGCTCTGCTACAGGGTATAGATGTATTTTATACGTGTAGAGGCAGTACAAATAGAAGAAGCAATAAATAAATCTAAGCTTCTTTATTTTATTGGACGTGCAGTCTTTTGCCTTTGGCGCAGTGTGTTTTGAAGCTTTTGATGCACCGCTGGGGAATGAGCAGGCATTGATGTAGCTGCTGTATTTCACAGTGTGCACAGTGTTGCATATGTGCCATAAAAGATAATGTACTGAGCCTGGACTGTGCGTGTTTTTGTGTGCTGTGCAGCCAAGCGCTGCTGACTAACTGCCTCATGTGAGTCTCTCTCCTCCCACACGGTCAAACATCACTGCTTCTCTCTTCTTTTGCTCTCGCTCTGTCACTTCTGTGCTGCCTGTCCCTGCTCTCCTCTGTTTGTCAATTTTTTTTTTCTCTGCATGTCTTCTGAAGATGTAAGGATCCCCCCTCCTTTTTATCTATCCTCCGCTTTTACCATTTTCTACTTTCACCACCCCACTCATGAGGAAAAATGTCTTCCTCTCTCGGTCTTCACCTTTATCATACACTTTATTGCAAAAAGTATCCAGACAGCATACATTACACACTCAAATGAGACCTAATTTTAAAACCATGGGTATAATATGTTGTAAGGATTGTCTCCACTTCTCGAGGAAGGCTTTGCACAAGATTTTGAAACATGGCTGCAGGGATTTGCTCCCTTTCAGACACATGAGTATTAGTGAGGTCGGCCAGTAATGTTGGCCTGACTCACTCTCATTCAGCCCTAAGGTGTTGGATGGGATTGAGGTCAGAGCTCAGTATAAGTCAACTTCTTTTACACAAACTGGGAAAAACACTACATCGTCAAAAACACACTTCTGTCTAGATCTAGAATATCGTTTTATCCTAATCCGTGACAAACATACCTAGATTAAAAGTATAATTAAACATATGTAAATGTACATACTGTGTGCTCCTGGCCATATCATGTTTTCCCCCTCCCTCCATCTTCTCTTCCAGTGAGTCAGCTTGCTGTCTGCTGTTTGCCAGCCGTTTGGGAGCCTGTTCACTAGAACAGATTCAACCTAATGCTGGGCAAATGTAAAAATACAGCATGTTTGGAGCAGTTGATCTGAGTCAGGCACAGTGGGAGAAAAACCAGAAAGCAGTGATTCAAGAATGATGCATACCTTTTTCATTTGGGAAACATACTAGAATAACAATGAGATCATAGAGGGGACAAAAGCAACCTGTAAATGTGAATATAAACTCCCAAAGTCTAATACCTTTTTTCGTCTAATACTATTTTAAGAATCCTTCCACATTTTAGTTACAAACATACAGTTCATCATACACAAATAACAACATAAGTCTTTGTGTGTCAATGTCCAAGCACATTATACTGGTTTTGTTAAGACCTTTGCTATGAACTACTTCATTCTGATTACTTCCTGCCTTGGCTGTCAATGCTGAACCTAAATGAAGAACTTTTGCATTTCAATGTAATTTGCAGGACACAGGGTTTATTACATGGTGGAGACACAGGAGGCCACGGGTGCTGCTAATTGCAGGGTACACAGGTGTTCTGCATGGGGCTAATTACTGCTGGGTCTATATATAACCTGAAGGGCTCACACTCTGTTTGCCCTGTGATCTGAAGCAGGGAGAAGGGCTCTGACCTAACAAGACTTTAAAAAAAGCATGTGCAGCTCCCTATTTGAAGAAATACTAAGGCAGAGATCTCTAAGAAGTATTAGTATGCACAATGAAAGGCCTCAGAGCTGTGAAGCTAATTAAAAAAGCCAGGACTTTACTTCCCTGTACTCTCAGGTAGCATGATAACATGTGCCTTTCCCATTATGTAGACAGTTGGTGATATGTTCTTAAAGTGACCTGGACCTGTGTGGCTACTGCTCATTACAGTTTGTACATCCTGGAAATACTCATTTAAAAAAAAGGAATTGGGGTTGACTCAAATGAGTTAAATATTTGGATTAATCCTGGCATTTTCACACTATTTTCTTGACGAGAAGAACTCTTTACCTTAGCTTCTGCTTCCACTCATTATCACTCTTTGCAGCTAGGAGTAGGAAGATCTCAAGGCAACAATCTTGATTCTCATAATAAACCAAATCAAAGGCCAGAATTCATGTAGCAAGGATGCAATGGTTGATAAAACTAATACACCACATGAATGTTACCCTGCTTAAACTCAATGCTGCTTCGAATACGATCATTAACAGATGAATGCAGATACAAGGCATAATCATTCCCGTTATTATTCTAAATGTTTGGTGTACTGTACATCAGCAGTGCATTTATTTGGCTCATCCACCATCTAGTGGCCAATGTGACTGTTACAGCATTACAGCTCTACACAGCAATCCCCTTTAATTGAGTAGAAAGGCTGACCGTGTGTCTTTCAAGAGTCCCAAATTAAATGCATTGATCTCATATGACCTTGAAGCAGCTTTAAAGCGGACATGTTGACTTTGTCACTTTGGATAAAAGCATCGGCTAAATACAAGGAAGGTTTATTCTAATGAGCTTACATGTGACATAGGAAGGGGAGCAGAATCTGAATGGCTTGTTGAACCTAAAAACAGAATTGCAAAGTTGTCTACAATTTGTTTGTGGGTTGGTGGGTATTCCAGATACCAAAACATACATATGTGCACAGAAGATATCCATGACATGTCCCCTTTAAAACTCAAGAAACCTCTGTAGATGAAGATCACAGCACTGAATCAGATCATTGCTTCAACTAAACCACCTGCATATGCCATTGATTGAATCTTGTTAATGCATTGGTCGCTCTATGGGCACAGATACGGGTTATTTTGCTCTCGAGTCAGGCTTCATGTGCCACTGAATGAACAACTTTCATAGGAATGAAATGAGTTCTCTTTATACATCCATGGTGCACCCAGACATTCTTCATTTATTCAACTGCTGTGTGACCTTTCACAATGTTTGCTTCTATAAATTGTTGACCCTCCAAATTGGAAGGACAACTGTTGTTATGTGCTACACAATGTTTGCTATGCTATTTATATATGAGAATATTGTAGTCTTATATTGTAAATAAGGTGAATATTAATTATAGGACACACATTCAGTGGAGAGACGAATATGAATATGCACATATCGAATTTGTATCCATGAATATTATAATAACCATGCAGGGTTAGTTTTCAATAGACTAAATTACCTTTGTGTTTCTTTACAGATCATGCCAACCCAACATCCATGCTTTATCCAGCGTTTCCCAGCCAAATAATTAGTCTCCATCAAACTACCGCGGAGCCCTCCAAACCACCTGTAGCAGTTTCTCCGCCATTCATTGAAAATAACTGGCAGCCAAAAGTCAAAATGTGTTTATGCGGCTATTCCTCCATGCCAGTAGAGGTAGCTAAACACCAGCGGAGATCTACACAGTTGTTGGAAGACGAGTAAAACCAATGGTAGCCATGCACCACCTAAGTCCTCCGTTTGGATCTAACCTGCAGTTGCAATGGAATAACAAGATGGTCGCCAATACGCTGACGACGCCACTGTTTATACGAGAGCTCCTTGATCCTGCTTACAGGAAACGGTTGCTTTCCAACAGGCATGGTGGCATGCTAGGATCCTTGGTTTCACAGTCCTGTGCTCAAACTAGGAACAAACCCACCTCTCTCCTCTTTTCTATCTCTTCTCAAAGTAAAAAAAGAGCGGGGAAAATGTGAATAAAACTTGCTGCAGGTTTTTCTGGTACTACAGACCTCTTGTCACTTAAAGGAAATGTCACGTTGAATGAAAAAGACAAAGCTAACGACGTAGCCGACCCACAGTCCATGTTTTTCGGTTTGCGTTTCTTTCCACGGTTTGTTTCTATCTACATTCCAGATTGGAACTGTTTAGACCTTTTGCTCCCCCTCTTCCTCACTTCTCTGCGTTTTTCTTGAATGCTGATTCTTCTTCATTTCCAATCCCCGCCCAATGATCCTCAACTTGCCATGTCTTTAAAGAAGTGTATAGTGGATACAAAAAAATAAATAGGAATTTGGAATGCATGGAACTTTATATCCAAGACCTTACACTGTTCATCATTACTTAACTGAGGCCATAAGTACACTTGGAAACACTTAGCTAGACGACGTTAACGATTAAGAGATTTCCGGAGCAACACACAGGAATTGGGCCACGGGAATAAGAGGAGCCTTGTTTTAGTTTTTTTTAAGACAAAAATATGGATTGGTTTTTGGAGTGAAACTGTATGTCGTCGGGTTGTTTTTCAGCCATTACAAAGCCATTGAGACAACATTCACCTGCAGTGCTTGTGGTGATGGGGTTTCTCCAACTGCTCCACAACATTTGGCTCTCAGATGTTCCTCATGTTGCTGTTGGTGGTTATCATATCCTGTGTTTCAATTACTTTCTTTATTGCTGGTTTTTATGTTGCAGGTAACCAATATTGCCTTAATCATTCTTAAATATTTTATTTTGAAGTGACATATTTTTTATTCCACCGTGTAAACACATATGTTCATCACACCTCTTTTTTATGTAGTGAAATCTGCTGGAACACTGGACACAGTGAGATTAATTTATATTTTTTAACTTTGTTTTTGATAATCGTTATTGATATTATTTATTTTATTTATGTTTTGTACTGAATTCATCCTGTCGATTTTACTGACTTATTTATTATCAATACCTATAAAAGCAATAGAGTAAGAGGTAAGGAAGTGAAGAGCACAATCGTGTGTCATTTAAAAAGTTGGTGGAGTAGAAACGTGTTGCCTCCGTCTGTCTTACACACCACTCATGTAACGCTTAAACGTACCACCACCAACGTACTCTGACAATGTTCTACTGCTGTACTCTTCATCAGAGAGCAGGAGCTCACCTATAAACACACGTTTGATACCCCCAGATCTCCTCCAACGACCAACAGTGAGACATCACGTCTTCACTCACAGGAAGTGTGATGCGCTGCTTGTGTTGGCCAGCTGGAGTCGATGTGAAGCACTGCAGGGCAGCAGAGAGGCACTGAAACGCAGACCAGACACACATTGCGGCAGAACTGGACTTTTTCACCTGCGGGGGTTCAATGTGATTTCTCTGAAAATCCAACATGGACGTTCTTTAGGAGCACCGCCACGCTCCTTTTACACATCGGTGTGTATCAGCATGTGTCTTCACTCACTGCACACGTGAAAGCACACGGTGTCAAAAGAACGAAGAAGAAACAAAAAAAAGCACTCACGTGACTGAGGAACCAAATATAACACACTTGGTTGTGTCACAAAGTCACTCGCCTTTTTTTAACTTTTCATTTTCTATCATGGTGGTGTCCAAGACCAAACCCCCTAAAACCTCTCTCTCAGACTGTCATGGAAAAACTTCTCAGGTCAGTGTTCTCCCTGCTGTCGCTCCTGCAGTGCATTGTGGGATCTTCGGTTTCGGTACTCAAAAAACTGTCGGGCCAAACATTGCGAGGCCTTCAGCAAAACCAACAAAACCCAACCAACTTCTGCTGTATATTGTCTGTGTGAACGCTCGCTGGGAACCTTCGCATGCCGCCCGGCGCAGAAAACCTCAAGATCACCTCTATATTGTTCTGTTCCTAATGTTTGTATGTATGTGTGTGGGGGTCTGTATGCGTGTATTTAAAGGCCATCATCCAATGTGGAAAAAAGAAAAGAAAAAACACGAGTTCAACCACGACAAATATGGTGGGCAGAAGAGGCGACCTCTCATCTCCAGTCCTTCTATGCAATGACTCATATTTGGTCAAAACACGAGGAAGAAAAGCGAAGTGAAAATACACACCAATGGGAAAAGTCATTGTTTATCACACTTGAGTTATTCTAATAATATCCATTTGGTTTGGCATTCCTCATAAATCTAAATAAGGAGGTTCTGTGAATGTGTGTATACTATATCTCACCGGTAGGTTAGGAAATTATAAGAGGGGTCTTTTCTTTACTCGTGGTAATCCTCTCCCTAACTGGGGTCTCTTTGTGAAGATGTGTTCATGGTAGCTGGGAAATGGCAATGATAGGCAAGAAAGGAGTGTTGCTGTTAAGATGATTTGAGGTCTAGCAGTTCTTTATTTGCAATACAAATACAATTCAAAAAATTCAAACAACAAATAGGTCAATGTCATTTTCAATGAGAATTTGAAATAATAATAGACCTAAAGTTAATAATAAAAAGTCCACATAAGATGCTTAACAATAAAAAAGAGTCTGTTTGCTGTTCTAAACACCAATATTAAAGAAGAAAGAAAAAAATATAATAAGAATATATTTTTTGAATGGGCATTTACCATAAGCAATGACAAATCCCAGGTTTCATGAACGTTGCAAACAAGGCCAATTTGCTTTTTTTGGCGCAGGGTACACAGAAAAGTTGTCCAGAGATTTATAAATACAAAAAGGAAAGACTATAAATATATAAATAAGGATCTCAATACATTCCCTAATATAGGTTTCAACTGCTCAGGGGTGAAGAAGAAGAAATGCTCCTCTTTTTCTTATTTTATTTATTTAGCAGGACCCAACATGTCATGTTATTGTCTACATGTGTGCACTCGTTGTTTGCAGAGAAATAACTATTTAAAGAATATTTAAGATACTCAAAAGCCGTACAAATACAAATATATACACATGATAGATAAGATGACACTATATTATATTAGACACAAAATACTGAACTTTTCAAGGCATTCCTGAATTAAATGAACTGATGAGAGTGTTGGTGTTTGAAGATGAACTGCCACGACACACTTAGAATTTATAAGCTAAATACACTGGAACGGAAATTACTGAAAAGATAACAGATTTAAGAAGAGGTGGTTTATGAAGTATAACACATTGTTTATCTCCCAACTCCTACACTTTCTTTTAAGTCACTGTGTAAAACAAACCAGTATATATTTTTTTTGTGAGACATTTATGAGAGGATTTATCTATGTCAGAATGTATTTTATCATACTGAGAGGGGATAGAAAGCTGATGAAAGACAGGAGCGATGAAGAAGAGAGGTTTATAATATCAATAATAATAATACATGGTATTTATATTGCACTTTTCCTGGTGCTCAAAGATGCTTGGGTCGTTAAGACGTTTAGGTATTGAAATATATAGACACAACAATTTTATTTTATAACAATATATGAGATTAGAGGCTATTGAAAAACGCTAGAATGCTAGGTCATCATTCAGATACAAAGCTGCCGTACACTGCAACAAGATCAGTGACTTCACCCTGGAAGCTTTAAAGGAGTATCAAACTAGAGCAAATCATATGAGAGAGAAAGTTTCAAGTTATCCCGATTATTACCAACCTTCTCTATTTTATGTCGTATGTTTTTGGAGGTTTGTAAAAAGTTAAATAAAACGTTCTTCAATCACTTTTGCCTCAGGAAAGCACTAACAAAATGCAGCATCCTAACTGAGATATAGATAAATATAGCGTTGTTTATGCAGGTGCAATAAATTGGACAATTTACGACACAAATAGACCTTCTTAAGGCTGGGGTCTGTGTCAAATGTGTGAAAAATGTCACTTTTGTTGCTCCTGTGTGAAGAAAGCCACCGAAGGTGACGTCAATATGCATAGCAGCAAGGGCTTTATACTACAATACTGGTTACTGAAGAAAGCCATCCTGTTACTGCCCTAGTCGTGGTCTCTGTCTATACTCTGCATGGGGTCTGTTTATATCCTGGAGCGCAAGATCAGACCACAGCAAAGCAAAAATCACTGAGCCACAGACGGCTTTTTCAGAAGTGTTGGAAGCACAAATGTAGTCCATAATAGAAGATAGAACCAGAATTGAATTGAGATCGGGTCAGGAATAGCTTCTTTAAGGAATATAGTTCAAACTGATTCCATGGGTCATTTGGATCAGATCTATGTTTAAAAATGTAAATCTAAGAAGTCTTTACTCATTTTCTAATCCGACATCAAGACTCTCCGCAATAAGGACAAACCGAATGTGGTGCTGAAATTACTTTTAGCACCACAAAGAGTTAAAACAGTCCACGGTATTCAAATGCAGCTTCGAGTGCTTTTGGGAAACTGGACTGTGTGTTCTCAACCAAAAAGGTAGCAAACAATGCTTGTACAGTATGTAGTGTAGGAATGGAGAAAGATTTAAAAACACATCAAAATATATATATATAAATCTATAAAAGAGTAAATGTTTCATAGGTGAGAGGTTGTGATAAAGACAGAAATAAACAGTCCATCATTCACAGAGCAGTTATTCATGTTCCACCTGTAATGAAGCATCTAAGTAAAGTGCATGAACTGGACACCCCCCACCCCTCGACCTTTTTAAACCCCTGACCTTTGACCTTCACCTCACGGGCTGCCATCTTTTTCCAGTGTAAATACCAGAAGAGAACTAAATGTAAATGCCATGAGGGATGTGTTCTGTGCGACACACTAACATACTACAACACACACACACACACACACACACACACAGGCAGGAGAGAAGCCTTTGCACACCACACAGCGACACAAGCTGGAGCGTATGCAAGCCTCCCTGCCCAAACTGTGTGTGCATAAAAACCACACACACTACATGAAACACAAGAGTTGTAGATTTGGAGTATACATGACGAGAATCGCATTGTGTACGTTAGTGCTCGTGCGGACTCATTAAACAAGTTGTATTCGGAAATGAAAAAAAAATGAAAAAATATATTGGTCTGTGTAGAGTTTCTATACCTGTTGTGTTTGTAAAATGAGATGACATCGAAAACATAAAAAAAAGGGGGGGTAAATATCTGGCTTCCATGTAATTTTTCAGGGTGGACAGATTTTTTGGGTGGAGATGAAGAGGGTTGGATGGTGAAAAAATAACCCAACAAAATGAATGAAAAAAAAGAGGGTGAAAATAAACTACAGAAAAAAGGTTGAGAGCCTACAAATGATTACAAAGTGTTCCATTCACTGTTGTAAGTGCAATGAGCTAACTTCCTGTTCCCCATTGTAAAACCTTGTGTATGTTTCCGTGTATTCCTCCTGTAAATGGGTGTAGTAGACCTGGTGCATCATGCCATGTAATGTGATGAATGACAAATTATGACCTTACAATACATTTCAATCAGGAAAATAAATAAAAGGCAAATACATAAAAAGAAAACCGTGCTGTGTACCCTCTTTATTTTTTATTTTTAAAGTGCACCCTGATTTTAAAGGGGCCCTCTTTTGCTTTTTGGAGTTTCCATTTCCTGTAGTGTGTGATATGTTTCTGTGCATGTAAATGGTCTGCAAAGGCTAAAATCCCAGAGCTCCTCCCCCTCCCTGCCTGAGATGTATCCATTGGTCTCCTTTGTTTACTTCTGTAACAGTGACATCACTAAGTAACACTCGCGCTCCTATTGGCTACACATTGTACGAGATAGGCCGAGGGGCGGAACATTTCTCAGTGGTTGACAAATCACAACAGAGCCGGCCAGCTAACCAATCAGAGCAGACTGGGCTCTGGTTTCAGACAGAGGGTGAAAAGAGGTGCTGCAGCACAGGCAGTATGAGACAAATAAAGAGCTTTTTCAACATTAAAGCATGGAGACATGTCACTGTAGAGGCAAACAATTAAAATATGAAAACTGGAATTTAGCATAATAGGGCCCCTTTAAGATGAATTCTAAATATCATTCAATTATTAGATTGCAAAAGGTGTTGATGACTAACATCTGTGTTTGTGAAATCATCCATGTTCACTGTTTTTAATATTGCAGTACCTTACAGGAGACAAATGTATTGGGATTATTGTTTTGTACAGAAACTCTTGGCAGAATGACGGCTGAATTCCATTTAGTTTCAGGGTCTGTGCATATTTATTTTCAGGCAATTGTCAGAGCATCCATTTAGCTGTCTTGTCATGTCATGGCAGGGTAAACACATTAATAACACTTATGGCCCTGTTCCATTCCGTTGGGCCAGAGCCCTGTTGTTGTGAAATCTAGCTCACTGTGACACACGAAATAGAACTGGACCGTAATCTATGAATCCCTCCTGTTGTTTTACCCTGTGATGACACGTCAAAATGGCTGTTTGTAACAACTGTGATTTCTCTACTCTGACTTGTAAGCATTCTGCTATGAACTCTAGTGGTTAATTGTATTATTGTTGAGTCATCCCGAGTCAATTAGGTTGACTCGCCAGTTGGGAGGCGTGTGGCGCAGTGGATAGAGCCTTGGCATGGGGATCAGATGGTCACAGGTTCAAACCCCACTGCAGTCAGCATGTAGTTGTGTCCCTGAGACACTTCACCCCAAATGGCTCCTGTGGGGATTGCCCACAGTATTGAGTATGTAGGTCGCTTTGGATAAAAGCGTCTAACAAGTAACATGTAATGTAATGTAATTATGAAAACCAGTGTATACTCAGTGTGGTCTGAGTTTTTCCAACATGTTCCTTAGTTCATCTTAATCCAAAAAAGAAAAAGAGAAGTGGCCATGAATTGAAATTAGGATTTTATTAGTAGACATCTCCCCCTTTCATTATTCTACCAAGCTGTCCACAGACTGGATATGACCCACACCTCCAAAGTAAAACATCTGGTACAAAGTTCTCAACAAAAACAGTTTAAATACTATAAAAATAAATCAATTGCACAAAATGATATATGCCATTTGTGATTACCTCTGTGCAGCACTTGTACACACATAACATCGACAACAACCCCGTGATACAGTGCAGGAGGAGAAACTACACAGAAGGCATTCATGTAGAAAGAACCGACACAAAGCGACATGGAGCGCGTTTAATGACACAGCAATAATGTGAGGGGTAGACGCTGAATCAGCACTTTCCAACAATGGTTTGTTCCTGTTTGGGTTCATTTAGCATTCGACCACTACTAATGTAGTGTTTGTGGGATTCATTTTTAATGAGGGTAGCTAAGCGTGAAGCCGGTGATTGATTTTACATTATTAAAAAATCATTTGAATTATGTTTTACTTTTTTTTTAAAACGACAATTATTTCCTAGAACCGCAAAGATCATAAATAATAAACATAAATACAATCACACGAAAACAAGGGAATGAAAAAGGGAGTTGCTAAGCTTGACAAAGAAATCAAATAAAACAATTAAACACAAATGAAAAGATAAATTGGTCCAAGATGTGTATGTAATTCCTTCCAAATATTCTGAGTATATTGAGATAAGGTGTGTGTGTGTGTGTGTGTGTCTGTCTGTCTGTCTGTCTGTGTGTGTGTGTGTGTGTGTTACGAGGAATGTAAAGCTACAGTACAATAACAGAGGACACAGATTCAAGTTGAGGTGCAACACTTGCATAGAGTTGGTGAAATAGCACTGATGGAAATGTGATATTTAAAATAGCAGGGAACAAAACGCATCAAATGGTGATTTAAAATGAACATTACTAAAGGTCACAATAGATGTATTACACTACTGCCATTATTGTTTAAAGGAGTGCAAACTACGGTGCAACGTTCCCTTTTTCAATAAAAGCTCTCACTAGTAGTTGTCTGTCACAATCTCTCAAACAGGAAGTGTGTAGAGTGTGTGTTGCAGATAGCAGGAAGTAGAAGGTTCATTATACATTCATTTAATTTATATATAAATCGTATATGAATTTAAATGAGCATGCCTCACAACCTTAGACTGTATCTGCCCGAGCAAACCGACACGTAAAGGGATTTATTATGACTGTGCAGAGCATGACTCATCAAGTTTCTGTACAAACACTAGCTTTTTGTGTCTCTTTCCCTTATAATGTGCTTACGTTCATTAGAGTACTTTTTGCTTCAATTTGAAAAAGATTGGGAGCGTATGACTTGCCGATGATATCTAACAAGTTCCTTTTTTGCTACAATCAGAATCGGACATTTTACACACAGCAAAGACGGAAAATTAAACAACAGATCAGCCCCTTTTGTGTTGGAGGAACACACAATTATACATATTTTTCTTTTAGTGACATTCTTCCAGCGCTTACGTCCAATTCAACGGCACAGCAGATTATTACACTGACACGAGTAACGCTTCCTTTTTTAATCATGCTAAAGTGAGTGCCAATAATAATGTCAATCTTGAGGTTTCATAATTGCCATCGTTCACACACCAAGTGCCCTCTCCTGTAGTTAATATGGCTTTACGTGTCTGTACATATTTATACGATAATTTATGTATTTACTTGTATTTTCTCCACACAGGTGGTGGTTGAGTCAAATCTGGGAGTTGTATATACAGTTATAAATGACAAACTCATGGGGAAAGCAGAATTGTGCCTAAAGAGAACTTTCAACATTTCCTCCGCCTTTTAAGAGATGTACGAAGCGGAGGATGACAGCTCAGCTACGACTCAGCAGCTAGCCGTGCTGCATTAGAACATTCCGTTAAATGTTTCCTCATTTCTTTTGTTAATGTTAATCGTACTTTACAATTACACTGCGAGAGAAAGCTACTTTTACAGACAAACAGAAGCCAAGTGCAGACAGGGGTTTAAAGGTCAGATTCATGTGTTGCTGTGCAGGAGAACGTCACATGGTGCGTGTGGTTCCTCTCCTGGTCCCCCCCCCCTCTGGCATCACATTCCCCTCTGCTGTCGAGGAAGCATCTGCTCTCTAGTAGTCTGTCTGGATTCATTTCAGCACATAAACCTTTAGCAGAAGGTTAATGTGCTGGAGAGTGTTTCAGGGACATTACACACAGACAGTAATGAGCTCCTTTCACCAACATATAATCGTCTTCCTTACAGGGTACAATGTCACCTATATTTATTTTCAAAGTATGTAAAGAAAAATAAAGAGGCCTCATGATTCACACATCCCTGCTTTGACTGTAAATCCATCACTGTGATTATTATGTTTTACTTCATGATTTAACTCCATAACAACACGTGAGACAGTCAGAGTGTGTGAAGTAAAAGTGTTAAACATTCAGAGTAACCGTTGAGTTCACCAGCTCTCTGCCGCTGCCATCCCTCAGGAAGAAAATGTGCTGGTTGCTATGTGACAAAATCACCAAAAATGAGAATAAGCAGAGATTTAAAAAAAAGAAAAAAAGAGCTGAAGACTCAGAGGGCATGAAGCAGGCTGCTGAGCGACGTGGATGAGTTTCAATCTCCTCTGTCGCTCTCAGTTTAAAGAGGATGGAGGCAGTGAGATGAAGATGGGAATGTGGATTTCTTTTTTGTACATTTCTCTCCATTTCACGACATTGCAGGTTATACAGGAGGAAGAGGAGGATGATGATGAAGGCTGGAGGACTATCAGTAGATGTCGGGCAGGTCTTGGTAGTTTCTATTGAAGTATCCCCCGGTGTAGAGCCAGGCCGGGGCGTTGGTGTACGGGTTGGTGCCCATCTGGAACCACCTGGGACACACACAAGCACACCTTTTGAAATGATTCAGGATACATTTCTTCTCCTAAACACACACTTCAAGTTGGACCGTCACACTCAGATATCCAATCTACCTCTGACACATGCTAAACTAGTTATAAATGTGTTTATTCTTTACTGTGGGGTCATTACTTGATCAGTGAGCTGCATGACACAGAAGCAGACGGTCTGTCAGGAGAGGGAGAGAAAAAGAGAGCGCTCCGTTCATTATTCCTGTGTTATTATCCAAAGTTACTGCACACTTTTGAATAATGTCGTTCATAAACTATGAGGAGTTTGTTTAATGTAATAATGATGTTGTTTTTGTTTGTACAAGCGCATGACTCTGAACTTGTTGATCAGTTATAATTACTACCTGAAGCAATTTAACAATGAACCCCATGAACTGAGTTTTAAATCGTTTGTCATTTACATATTTCATGTCTCGAGTGCTGACGATGTTGTGATTGGCGGTTCTGGGGGTAATGGAATGTTGGTGGTTCTGGTGTTAAGCCATCCTCTCTGTGTCACCGGGTACAGTTGCAGTGAAATGTAGCTGCAGTTACTTAAATGTATTATTGTTCAAATCTTTTCATTTTCATGTTTTTTTAATGCAACTTTGTGTGCAAATCTAGACTGTATGAAGTTCCTAAAGTGATATATGTTGTTCAGCTTTTCCTAATACTTGGACGGGTTGAATGCAAATCTGAATTTCACTGTGTGTGCTGCGGACATGTTGGACGATAAAAAGAGGATTACAAATCTTCCACTTCCAAATGTGAAATTCCGAATGCTCAACTTAAACGAATAAATAAATGTAGAAATGTTGTTAGCATAGAGAGGAATATTATCTTTTTTATTAAAACTATGAACTCATCTTTCTTTTCATCACATTATGTTCATTCGGTTTTCAAAACGATTGTGTTTTTCAAGCTCTTGACAGATGATGGTCATGTTGGCGTCTTGTTTGCACGGTGGCCAGTTTGATCTAATGTAGAACAACAGAGCTCACAACACAGTTCTGCTCTGTTTGTAGTATCTGTGTGTATAAGAGCACTCTGCTGAGAGTGTGTTTCCCACCTGGTGTTCCACTCCTCCTCGTCCTTGGCTCTCTCCTTCCTGGACGCTCTCTGTTTCTCCTCCAGACGCTCCTTCTCCCTACTGGCCTCCTCTGCAAGTAACACACAAACAAAACATCTGTAATTATACAGTTTAGCTCAGTAGAATACACTCGTAACTCCAAGGCAGTAGTGTTGAACTCTCTTAGGCTGCAGCCACACGAGGACGATAACGGTCGTATCTGCTACAGTTCTCTATCAGATAGAGTCTACGGTTCGGCCACACGAGGCCGACATGGAAACGCAGAAAACGATAACGGGTCCCAAGGTGGGTAGATCTGCGGACGAAACGCTCGGGGGGCCAAACGGCTCCGTGATTACGCCCTATAACGATCATTTCCTGATAACGATGACGCAATAGCCCCAGTGTTTCGAGCCAGGTCCCGGTATCTCGCAGGACAGCGCACCCAGCAGGAGCTTCCAGCTACATTTGATCGATATGGACATAAACGCGAGTGAAGTCTAATCGGACAGGAGAGGAGACACGCAGCTCTGCATGCTCACCTGCAGCTCCGCCCGCTGTGATGGAGCGATGAGCGGAACAAAACACAAACTTAATCAAGTTAGATCTTCACCCTTAGCTATTTTAATTACCTCTCAAACTACCTAAACTAGTTAAATATGTTTATTTTTACTGTCGGGTCACGCATTACTGGATCAGCAGCTGCATGAGACCACGGATACTGACGGGCTGTCAGGAGAGGGGGAGGAAAAGAGAGGCTCCGTCCTCCGTGTATTATTCTTATATTATTATATAGAGTCGTTATTCATTTGTTTTAAAGCTCAATAAATAACAAAGAAGACCTTTGACCGGCACTTTTTTCTTTTGACCGGAAGATTTAAACTTTAACGGACATGTTGACCGGCGAAACCCCACCTCTGCTGCTAAATCCAGCGCGGAAAATAAACAGAAGGGCAACCATGGCAACCATGCATGCGTGAGAAGTCTTCTTCGCTGCTTTTGGTGTATTTTGTGGCAGAAGTACAGCGCCACTTACAGGCCCAGCATATGTACTACAGCGTCTCCAGCGGTTCGAGCGGTCTCGTGTGGACGGACACGTTTCTGGTGGCTATTGCGTGTGGACGGAAGACTTTTTTGATAACGATTTTGGTGCGTTTCCGTTATCGTCCTCGTGTGGCTGCAGCCTTAGATCAACAAAAAGAGATGATAGTGACACAGACAGCCAGCAGGGGGCAGCATTGTCTCATTAGTGCCTTTTTTTTTTAAAGTTCCAGAGAGACTAATCTGTCTTGTCAGTCGGCTGTGATCAAACAGACTCTACAAGACAATTTAAAAAGGGATGTTTAATATGGAATTACCCATCAAGCCGTTCTCCATGGCTCTGATGTCGGGCCTGAAGCGGCAGTCTGTGGGGGCCACCGTGCCCTCCATGCCGGGCTCCATCTCATTGAGAGACATCGCAAAGTTGGTGAAGTTGTACATCTGGGGAGGGAAGTGGAAGAAAGATTGAGAGGGAGTTAAGGATGTTAAATGTTTGAAATGCCTAATTTCCATTGCATATTTAGACTTAAAGTACCAGGCCTTTTTCTAAAAATGTTTTCCTTAATGGAGGTAGTGTTCTCGCCTGAATCTGCCCTGACATCATTGTGAACGAACACTCGCTGAATATGACGGGTTGGTGCAGGATGTCCCGTGTCAGGCTAGTTACGATTCTCTCTGACCGATCAGTGAACAGCAGTCTTTTCATTCCTGCCAAACTGGTTGCAATAATATTGACTGATTCTGCAATTGCGATATGATTTGCAATTTATCAGAGAGAATTATCATTATTGAAACATTATTTCACATGATCTTTCATTCTCGTTTTAATATGAGGAACTCAACCGAGACATTGCCCTTATCAATCAATCAATCAATGTTTATTTATATAGCCCAATATCACAAATGTTACATTTGTCTCAGTGGACTTCACAGTTTGTACAGAATATCAGTATGACAATACGACACCCTCTGTCCTTAGACCCTCACATCGTACAAGGAAAAACTTCCGGAGAAAACCCACAGTTTAAAGGGAAAATGGGAGAAACCTCAGGGAGAGCAACAGAGGAGGGATCCCTCTCCCAGGACGGACAGACGTGCAATAGATGCCGTGTGTAAATTGAAGAGATAATACATTTACAACATAGGTAGTCCAAATGTATTACTGCATTCTGGATATTGCACCAGTCATTATGGGATGTCTTAAATGTGGATTATGCTTGTCCACCTTTCTGTATTGGCTCAGGTCTATTGTAAAAAATAAGTGGGTACTATCAACAAAAAAAGCAAGTGGAGTTGAGAAGAGCCGTGTCGCAACATGCAGCGGAAATGTGGCATCAATGAAACATTACAGTCCCTGCAATCAACACTGTTTGGGTAAGAAAGCTAATCGTTTCCTGGTTTTTATACATGTGAAGGTCCATCAGACTTTTTGTATCGGGCTCTTTTGAGTGTTTTCTGGTACCTGAGTAGAGAGAGCCGGTCTGGAGTCTATCCTCCACAGCAGAGTGCTTCCTGGTACCACACAGACCGTCTCCTGGGCGTCGGGCATGTCGTCCGCGTCATCGTTCTCCTCCTGGTCCTCCTGGGAAACACACTTGTTATTTAAACTGCAGAGGGTGAAGCATCTTAGTTTATACTTTATAAACAGGATTGGTGTCTTGTTCCAGTAGAGGTCTTCCTAAAACCCACCAGGAAAACTACATACATGTTACAGCTATTGTATTCACTACAAACAGGCAAACAGTCTGGATATGACCACACAGAATGCTGTGGGCTCCAACAGGAAATCAAGACAAAAATACAAAGTCACAAGATAATTATAGAAAATTATATTATATTTTAAACAATAGGTAAAATAAAGGCAATACGATACTGTCTACGAGTATTTTATATTTGCATAACAATAAAACAGTAGACACATAAATACTGATACAACCCACTATTTAAGAATTGATTTGATGTGATTTCATTTCTGTTTTAGTTACTCTCCGTGTTTATAATGTGTTGAGTCGCTTTAGTTCATTTCCTCATCCACGCATTTGTCACTTCAAGACTGGACTACTGCAACAGCATCCTGTATGGCTCATCATCCAAAATCCTAAATAAACTACAATACATCCAGAACTGCGCTGCCCGCCTCCTCACCCGCTCCAGAGACCACATCACCCCCGTCCTTCAAAACCTGCACTGGCTCCCTGTTCGTCAACGAATACACTTCAAAATCCTTCTGCTAACACAAAAAGCTCTCAATAACCAGGCTCCCCCCCCTCTCACCGACCTGATCCACCACTACACCCCTTCCCGCAGCTCCAAACCTGGGGGGATAGAGCCTTCTCCATCGCTGCCCCCACCCTCTGGAACTCCCTCCCACAACACATCAGAGACTGCACTGACCCCCCTCACTTTCAAAACACTGACCAAAACACACCTCTTCAGACTGGCTTTTAATCTGTGAATTATACTGTATTGCTGTTTAAATAACATTTAAGTGTTATTTTTAGTGCCGGGACTCGATTAAAAAAATTAATCTAATTAATTAGAGGCTTTGTAATTAATTAATCGAAATTAATCGCATTTTTAATCGCATATAAATATTTGACCTAAGAACAGTGAGAAGCAATTTTTTTTCACATGGATTTTAGTATACCATTAGGCGCATTCACACCGCAGTACTTTTCCCACAAAGGTTCATGAGAATTTAGTTCATGAGAACTCTTTGAACCTGGGGGTGGATTAGGCAAATGAAGCCGCTGACGTCACTTCTTCTTCTTCTGCTTTGGGTTTACTGGCAGGCCGCAAACCACTTCACGGCGTATACTGCCGCCCAAAGTCCCCGGCCGGAAGTCCCCGGAGTTGGGGACTGGCTTCAGTAGAAGCTGCTGGGAGTCCCAGCAGCTTCTACTGAAGCCTTCCGAGTAAATCGCCAGAACGCCGACACCTCCTCATCTCCACCGCTCCCATGTTTTATTTTGTGTTGCCATAAGTTAGTCTCTCTGCGTTTCTGCGCTGGGCTAATGCTAATAATGCTAATGCGAGGATAATAAAATGGCGGCTTCACAAAACGTTTTGGGAGTTTTACAGGGCGTGGTTTGCAATCCGCCCAGCCAATCAGAAATATAGCTCTTTTCTCACAAGAGAGCCGTACGAAAGTCCCTGCTCTCTAGCAGCTCTCTGCTCTCTAGCAGGGACTTTCGTGGGGGTAAAAAGGTTCTCATTAACTAATTTTAGTACCGGCTCTTTTTGGTGTGAACGCGATAAAAGAGGCTAACGTCCACGCTAGCTTCCACGCTAGCTGCTATATATTTTGCATTGAGGTGATACTTGAGGCTTGATGTGCTGCGGTGATATGCAAATTCCTTTTTGCATAATTTGCACACAACCATGCTAATAATTTGCACACAACCGTGCTCTTATCGACGCTTCCATCCGTCCGTTTTTTAAAACAACATTTCCCACTGTTGTTCACTGTGGTTTGTTGTTGTCTGAAGTCATGAACGTTAGTTGGTGCTCCAGTATAATCGGTACGCCTGAAACTCATCCAGTGAGAAACGTTCCGCGGTGCAAAAATAAGTGCGATTAAAATGCGTTAATTTTTTTAACGCGTTAATTTTTGTGTAATTAATTAATCTTAATTAACGCGTTAAAGTCCCGGCCCTAGTTATTTTATCTTGTTTTAATAACTTTTAAATTCTATTTTATCATGTTTTATCACCACTGTAAAGCGTCTTTGAGCACCTGGAAAAGCGCTTTGAAATGCAATGTATTATTATTATTTCATTGTGTGTATTAAATGTGATCAGTTTCTTTGCTAATCTGCGATATGAAGAACAGTTTTAGATTTGAAGAATCTGATTCCTAACTTCTACTCACACTTTTGTGCTTCTTGCTGTCCCCTCTCTTCTCCGACTTCTTGTGGGCCTCGTACGCCTGAGGGTCCACGCTCCACATGCACTCGGTCCACTTCCCGTAGATCACACAGTGTTTCTTTTTACTGACGGAGAGAACAGAGAAATGGAGGGAAGAATGAGAAAGAGAAACATGAGCAAATGATATGTGAGTGGAAATGAAGGACAACACAAAGGAAGATAGAGAGAAGAGAGGAAGAAGCAGAGAAGGATAATGGAGAACCAGTTCAGGATAACATTTGACTGAAGTGTATTTTAAGAGTGCATTCTAACCTCTTATCCTGGATGTATCCCTCCACTTTGTGCAGCTCTTTGCCAAACATCCCGCAGGGTTTGAAATTCAACACGCATTTGTCTCCAGTGCTGCAGAAAAACAGAGTGAAGAAGAGCCGGTTAACGTCCATAGCTTTATTTAGTCCATAATAATGATGAAAGAAAAGACTTCTGCTATAACAATGAACATTGAGGCTAAAGTTTCCTAAACCGACGTTCCTGATCTACTAATTGCAATTAAGAGCATCATTAGTGTAATTGAATTCCTCCTTAGTGTTGTTTAGACAAAGGTCAGCCTGAAACTAGACGGGCCTTTTTTGTTTCCTGCACTAAATTTCGATCAAGCGCTCCCTGTTCTCCATGCAAGGCTCTTTCATCCAATCAGTGCTTCAGTACAGCAGAATCTCAGCAGCTGTGTGATTATGACTCAGACTGGATGGTCAATGCAGAGCTTAAATAAATAAAGGTTTACAAAGTGCTTGACGTATTGTTTGCACGAGAAGACACACAGAGAGTACACAAGCTGCTCAAGTGAAACGCTGAGTCAGAGTAGATGAAGGCGCCGGGCAGGATTGCTGAACAAAGATAGAGGAGAGTGTGCTTGAGGCTCAACTATGTTGTAGAATAAAATCATTAATATATCTTAAGTTTGTCTATAAACAGACCTTATTCAGGCATCCAAGCAGAACATTTGTGTTCTTTAAAAAACTCAGTAGAATATCACGCTCAAAGAAAGATCATTTAGGTTCAGCTTTTGTAATGTGAATATGTATTAATTTATAATTATTATTATAATAATGTATTATTATTATTATAAATGTAATATAATTGGTTAACAAAACAAGCAATATTCAGCCATCATCTTTGGCTTTAGGAAACTTTAAAGGTCAGTCGTTCAACTTTTTTTCCCCCACCATTTTACAAACTAAAATATTGATTGGGGGGGCGAGTGTGTGGGTGAGATACTCCCACTGCAGGGAACTTTGAGATTTTACCCTTTGCAGACCATTTACATGCACCAAAATGTATAAAACAAACTATATGAAATTGAAAACCCCAAAAAGCATAATATGGCCCCTTTAATATTTGTCTTGACAAATTATAAAAACACTGTTTGGGTCCCCATAGGTTACCAATACAGTTCAATTAACAACAAACTGCACTCGGGCCGACAGTACAAAGGACCTGCTGTAAAGAGTAATCACAGACTGCATCTCCCATGTGCAGTTCACCTGTGGTTGACTATCTCCACGGTGCCATACTGCTCTATCCACAGCTTCCCCAGGATGATGTTGTGAACACAGCAGTAGGGGTTACTCCATGTGTACGCCTCGTTGTGCCTGCAGGAGAGGAGAAGAAGAGATGAGGAACTGATTCTGGATCAGAAAACTGTGACGTGAACAAACTGTCACCAGACTTACTTGAGCAGCTCTAGGGTGATGGTCCCTTTCGGCTCTGCCTCGACGCTCTTGCCCCAGAACTTGAGTTTGGGGTAGATGGATCCGTGGAAGACAAAGTCCCCCACCAGACTCTCTGCATGGAAGGCGCTGACCGGGGGATGGTGGGATACCTGCTCCGACACCAGCCGGAAGCCCTGGTCCTCTCTGTGGAGGGCAGGGAGGAAATGAAACGTTAAACTGGGCGACAACACAACCACTTGAGTTTGATTCTAGCCCTTGGACTTTAGTTGCACTGATCTGTTTATCCCCCCCCATTTCGGCCAAATTAAGGCTAAAATGGCCCAAAAACATCTCAAGGAGAACTACAACTATTTTTGAAATTCAGGCAAGTAAACATTGTCAACTCTCCTTCAAATTCAAAACCTGAGGTGCTAAAATGTGTGATGTGAAGTATAAAGTCTGAAACTTCTTCAAATGCTATGAATTGGGAAAGAGGTTTAAAATCACACTAAATGAAGAACTGGTCTTACCACATCATCTCAAAACTAAAGTTACTTGTATCAAATAAAGGAACCAAATCACAGGGTGAATTAGATTTGTATTTGACACCTAAACCGAGATGACATGGTGGCAGAGTACCTGACAAGACAGAAACAATGACACATTGACAATGTAATGTAACATAGGATGGTGTTCCCATTAAATACAAAAGGTGTGTGTGTGTGTGTGTGTGTGTGTGTGTGTGTGTGTGTGTGTGTGTGTGTGTGTGTACCTGGTGAGCTCATAGGTCTCTCCCAGCAGAGGGTTGAAAGGTTTTCCAGTTCTGTCCCACTGAGACGCAACCGCTGACACAGCAAAAGCAGCTACCGCCTAAAGACAAACAATGTACACATCATGTCAGCGAGTGTGTGTTTCTTTTCCCTGTGCCGTTGCATGTTCTCATTAATCCTTCTGTTTAGAGCCAGGCTCAGTCAGTCAATAAGTGTTTGTGTGTGTCGAGCTTTCCATACTGGTTGCTTTATTGATCCAATACACTGGGGATGAGCGGATAAGTGCACACCACCATGGAGAATTATATAACCTTGATCTCTGTTTTATTTACAATATGTAGTAGCTCATGTATAGCTTTAATTACAGCACCAGGGCAGTTCTTACATTCAGTGATTATAAACCCATCATGTTGAGGTCAAAATGGCAACTGAAATCAACTAATTGAGGTTTACCTAGAACTTTCCTAACAAAACACAAAGGGCTGTAAAGTGTACCGTGTAGCTAAACCGTGTTTTTTGCAAATGGAAGTGCAAATAATTGGAATAGAATGTTTTCAAGAGTGGAATAAATGTGGTTAGTGCTCATAAAAGAATATTAAAACTTGCATATAGATCCAGTAAAATTGCTAGATTAAACAAGAAAATGCAAAAAATGTACAGAATATTTATTTATTTGATGTCCTTCCTGTACATGTGTGTGTGTGTCTGACCTGCATGCGCTCTATGGAGTCGGGCAATGCGCAGGCTCTGTTGATGAGGTAAGTGTGTTCCATGTACTCTGTGATTCGCTGCAGGAAGCTCAGAGGCTCGTTGAAGGCGATGGGCATCGTGATCTTGGAGAGTTCCTGGGAAAAACCACACAGTGACCCTTACTAACAGAACAAGTTTGTTATCATCTGAGTTGATTTCAATGATCACATGGCATCTAACAAACACTGTTTGAAGTGGAGACAATTCATATTACACAATCAGTTTTTGACATGGCAGTGACGTAGTTTCAAACACTGCTCTGACTCTGGTTACAAGGGCCCTAAAATAATGAGCAGCTACTGAAAATCGGTTTCAAGTCTGTGTGGGTGCACACTCAGAATATTAGCATTTGATTTGTGTCTGGAAGTCTGCGGCTCCTTACCAGTCCGATGCATTTCTTCAGGATGCTCCACACACTGATAGTGTTTCTGGAGAACATGGGCGCCGGTAATGACGTCCTGAAAAACAGAAAAAGAAAAAGAAAACAGGGGGATAATTTTATATGAGGGATTTGTTGTATTTGTTATTGTTACACACATTTCAGCCACAAGAGGCAGTCTACACATCACCCAATGTTCCTAATGACTAAAAGCATTCATGTTTTTTCATACTGTTTTCTTTGGTTTCTCATTTGACAGCAGCATAACAAAATATTGCGACATGGACAGAAGAAATGTGTTTGGACCCGGTTTCAGGCGGAGGTAACCCACATACAAACCCAGCAGGTGGAATGCGGGCAGGAATGCAGCAGTACCTGTGTTTCTTGATGCCATTCTCTTGTGGCACAGAGCCATTGTTCTTCTGGCTGCTGCTGTCAAACACCAGCGCATCTTTGAAGCTGGCCTCCGATACGCCTTCATACGACTCGTCTGAATCCAGGCCTGTGGGAGAGAGAGTGTTACTCAAAGGTCACAGCAGCTGCTCTGCGCAGAATACCTGCTCTTTCAACTAGTGCAATAAAAGGCAACACAGAAATGCATATTCAGAGAGAAACAAAGTTCTCTAAAGGTTTGCTTGCAACATTGGTCAAAGTCACGGATGGTGCAAAACATTTGCAAACTGTTTTGCATCAGGGACTTTGAGCCTGTGTGTGACAGGCAAATGTGATTGATTGCCTGGTACCTGTTTACACAGACTAACCTCTTCACTTACATTACAGTGGTGTCACTTCAGAAACCCTAATGCTATGGTTTATTTTAATTCATGGTCATGATAAAACAATTCCACAATATAATACATGCCAATGTCATTCGGAAATCCCATGTAAACTGTCATGACGCAGCCATGTGAAACTAAATAGTATTTCAGGGTTTTTCTAGAAAAAGAAAGTATGAGGGCAATACTGTGGCACTGATTTTGAATACAAGATATTTAAATTCTCGCGAAACAAAACAAGACACCCGTATACAAGAAGGTGCTGCGGACTTAAATAACAATGCGATGTCGGAGCTCAGTAATAACAAAGCTGTCAATGCCGTCTGACAGTTTCATCATTTTGGAGTAATTCAAGTGTTTTTGAAGAACACAAATATGGTTTCTGGCATCACTTTAACATTTTACGAGTGAAAAGCAGCATTTTGGTACGCGCACGCCGAAAATAAAAGCTCACACCAATAGTACACCTGCTGTGAGAGCATTGGGTTTACCAGTAAATGTCCATGGGAATACATGCAGGTGTCGACCTACACCTGGGTGTCAGCCAGAAGATAAATGACTTGTGAATATTAAGTGCTGCAGGGTGGAGTAGAGGTGAACTCAAGGTGGGGCCCTCAATTATTAAACACGCCTACTCAGCTGTCAGTATTACGTCAAACGTACCAGGTGTGTACTCTTACCGAGGTACGGCATTTTAGATTGAGATGTAACACGCAGGTTACATGCAGGTGTGTCATTCATATTTGGTGCAAAATGTGTAAGCTAGTATTCAAAACATTAGATCTTACATCATAGTAGCTGAATAAGGGATCTGCAATTGTTGGAGTACATGTTTGCCAACTGAAGGTAATATATAACACAAGATTCATTGCAATTGCAGCACACTACTTTTTTTTTAACTTAGTACTTTTTAATGCATGTTACATAATGTAACATGAAGCTGTCTATGGCTCTTTTTCTGCTGTAACAACGTACATTTCCCCTCTGTGGGACTAATAAAGGGATTCTGATTCTGACTAAAGAACAATATGTTGTGATGCACAAACCAGATGAGAACAAATCCTCCAGCCACAAGCTGAAAAAGCAGATGTTGCAATATCACCATGTGCTGCAAATCTTCATTGATTTAGAACATACAGAGAAATGTAACCCTATCCTTCCAGTCCTTGTAGCTCCCAGGAAGCGACCTAGATCATATCTGTTTAGTATTGCTTTCTAATACTTGGAATTGGTTGGATAATTCTTAAAGAGCTGATAGAAGTTAAGGATCAATATAGTCTGTGAACAAAAAATCACCAAGACTAGCATTTATATTGAAATTGAATACTAGTTAACATCTACAGTATTTACCAAAAGTAGAGGTGCAATGAGGGAGAAAAAACTAGACAATAAAGCCATGCTGGAATCCACCTGTTCCTGACTTCATCTGACCCTCTGTGTACACATTAATAATACATCCGTCTCAGATTAGTAATATGGTCAAAGACAGGAGGCAGGCAGACACAAACACACACTTGATTCTTGTATATATATGGCCAGGAAACAAGAAAAAACAATAGTACTGAATGTATGTCAACATGAGCAAGCATGCCTAGCAATATCACACAAAAGGCACAAAAGCAATTGTGTTAATAATTTCTGACAGAACAACACCCTATTAAAAACTAAAGCGATTAAAGGTGGGGTAGGTACGTTTGAGAAACCGGCTCGAGATACACTTTTTGTTATATTCCATGGAATGCTCTTAACATCCCGATAGCAATGAATCCATAAAAAAAATGTCATCTCTGGAAGCCGTGGCGCTGTAAAAAGCACGACCAATCATCTGAGCCGGCCCGGCTAAAGTAACTGGATGGCCTACCTGCCTGTCAGCCTTCCATCTGTGCACAAACTTATCTCGTGCCCTCATTGGTCATGTGCGTGTTTGTGTGTGTTGGAGGAGGGGCTCTGTGAGGAAGTGGCAGATGTTTTCCGGCTGCGTATTTTCAAATTCTAGCGCACTCGAGCTGGTTTCTCCAAAATGACCTACCCCACCTTTAAATGTTGTTAATTATAATGTTTTAAACCACAACCAACAGTACTATGTCCACAGCCAACAAAATCCATGTTGTTGTCCAAATGTCTTATTTCTCACATTGTTCTAATGACCGTACAACTTTAACTGACATCACCAGTGAGTATTTCTCCAACTTTAGAGTATTAAAGCGTTTCCAAAACCAAGAGAAACACTTCAAAGTGTATCTCTCCAGAGTCTGGCGAGTCAGACCCCTGGAATGTAAGACATGCTACGCCCCTCTCATAGTAAATAGTCAGGATGACACACAAGTGTCTAATACACAACGTCCTAGTCAGTCAAAGCAACTCCAAATAATACATTAGCTAAATCAAATCTTTATAATGAGCTAATTCATAGATATCAGACCCTTCATGGCATCCCATGCATGAGACATGTCTAATCTTTTGACAGAAGCAGACATCTGAAACCAATGAATCCTTAATACAAGTCAGGTTTCATTTAACTGCCTCTATGAAAGGTATCAGATATAGAGCGTTCACTGCTGATCTTGGGATATTGATACCAACTGATATCCCTAAACCCAGAAAGAAGAGTCACACTGAAATGAGTACTTATCTGGAAAACCCACACAAATTCTACTACTTTATATTTTGTAAAGGTGACCACAACCACACAACCTCCCAGAATGCAAGCTGTCGTTGACCTTACCGATCATGACCGCAAGATAGCAGACCTCTGAATTATTGAAATAATCATCAGACTATAGCAGGTTAGGTTCCATCAGAGGGTATTATGCTTATTACGAGATATCCTCTTGCAGCCAAATACATTTAGATCCTAGTTAACCTAAATGATACATAAATATTGGTTTGAGAAAATTACAAATGAAGAGAAGAAATCAAATCAACAATTTTGTGAAAAATCTGTTGAGACATCTGGCATCAATTGGGAACTTTCTATTTTCGGACAGGCACAGAAAATCACTCTTTTACTTCAGAAAGATCTACAAAACAACTTTATCCATTAGAAACCAAATTCGGACACACTCCTACCTGTGACGGCGTCGTAGAACTCATCCTCATTGTTCATCTTCTAGAGTCAAAGCCGACCAGTCGATTAGGACAGACGTACGACTTCTAGAACATGTTCCTTTCCGTGGCGACCCCTCAGAGTTCCTCTGGAGGGACACCTGGCGATCAATGTCCCTCTGGCCTGTCAGCACGGCAACAGCACGATGTTCGCTCAATATCCAGGGGCTCAATTGGAGCAAATCTGCAGCTTGATTCAGAGACGTCAACAGCTGACTTCTGAGTTCAGGTTGGGTTTCTTTGGCGTTGTCGAGAGAAGCAGGATCTGAAGAGACAGAAAAACAATATAGGTATTCAGTTTGGGTAAACAGAGAGTCGTTTCCTTCCATGAAAGCAAAGACTAGTCTGACTAATAAGAGAAAAACATGTTTTTGCAGAAACCTAGGATGTCTATGAAGCAGCAATGTGAAAAATATATTGTCAAAGCTAAACTGGAATTGTTCATACAACTCTGTAATAGCCTGATGACAACCCACAGAAAATATTATTATGGATTGGTCCATGTCTGAGCAACAATACTGCGTTTCAGAGCTAGACAAATAATCTGCTTCTATCGAACTGAGGTTTGGTTCAATTGAAACGAAAGAAATTGCCCTCAAAAGCCCCATTATCCTGAGTTATATTTTACTGTACTTTTTCAGATGACGATAAAGGGTCATTTTCATCTATCCAGGCTACAAGATCAAAAGCAGCTTAGTCAGGCTGAGAGTTTGGTCCATCATGGCCCACTGAGTGCAAACAGAGAGTTTTCTGGACCAGTATTTACATAATTGGGACATCACCGTCACAGGCATTCAGGGTCTTTGTTACCTTCTGTTGGGTACATTGGCTCGGATCTACATTTTAAACTCAAGTTCATATTTCAAAACAGTTCCAAACAGCATAATCACACTTAACATGGAAATCAGGGAAGTAACATCCAGTCTAAAATGACTATTAAGCAAGAAATGCGAGAACATGTTGTTAACAGCTTGGACCAGCACTTTTTATTCTTCAATGTCTGCTTTTGACCTTTGTCTTTAGACATCCTGTTTAAGAGGTTTGTATCTATCCTCTTGGAGTTTCGGCCATTGATTGAACTGGCCTTAACAATGTATGTCATAGAGCTAAACTCAGAAATCATTCTTTACCTGTTGAATGTCAACGAGTAAAGGTGACAGGATGAAAATCAGTAAAGGTGGAAACATATTCCATTTGAATCCCTCAACTCATTAAACAGGGTTTAGTGATGCTTCACTGGTCAGTAACCAACATAGCTATTGGAAAGGAAATGCTCCACTGTGTCGGCAGCAGATAACATTGTTCTGCTTTATAAAAACGAATAATTAATATTGCTTACTCATTGTTTTGTATTTCTGTCCACTTATATGCTTCACAGTTTCATAGAAACAATCCATGATGAAGCCAATTGAACTGTTTGTTTCAATCACCCCTTTGACCCCCATGATGTCAGCAATGCAAGAAAACCATCATAATGACACAGCCCGATTAGCAAATATGACAAATGTTGACTTACACTTTGACCCATTATTAGTCAGTGGCGAACCGTCAGGGCCTTCAAGGTATTCAGAGAATACCCTGGAACACTCAGATAAAACCAACAAAAAAAATCGATTTAATTATATAAATAAAATGTATATAAAATGAATAAATGAGAATCGTATCTGTGTTGTTGATCTGTAATATTACAGTGTTACGTTGATTTGTTTGTCCTTCTCGGACCATGCGCTACGCATTTCAGTGGTTTTGTGTTAGAAAAGAAAGCAACCAATCAGATCTTGTCCTTCAACCAAGGTATTCTACATCCTTGATAGAATGCCCTGGCCGTTGCACTGAATGAGAGCGTACGTTGGGACTGACAGTTTGATCAACCAATCATATATTGATTTGTAGCCAATGGGCGTATTCTTTCAGAGTTTCCCTCGGTTCCAGGGTATTCTAGAAGGCCCGCTAGTTAACTGGCTCGAGGCAGAGGATCTAGATGAATGCGACAAAGCAATTCATGCCGTTTTATTGTTTTTAACGTTGAAATGACAAGTGCAACAGGTGAAGATGAAGTCGTTGCGGAATTGTTGTGAGTACCCTTTTCAAGACGACAATTCAGTGAAAAGACGGACATTATAATGCCGCGGAGGGGGGGGGGGGGGGGGGCGGCGGCGGTCGTGGGGGGTGTGTGTGTCTATAGAAGGTCCAGTTGTGATAGACACGGTTCGCCACTGTTATTAGTAGTAGGCTTTACACAGTCACACTGCAGGGGCCTCTTCTCACATCATTACAGTTCAATCAAATTGTGTTTGAACATGAATATCGCAAACGTGTCAAGCATCACAAGTTAGCACAGTGAGCAGTAATGATATGTTCCTCTTCCCCTAAAAAAGTCAATATAATATTGTTTAGGTATTGGTCTGAAACTCAGGTATAATATTACAATAGCAGCAAAAAAGGTTGAAACTGTAGTTCTCTTATCATGACATAACTTCATTTATTCATTTTTCACACAATGGCAAATAAAAAGGGCATTTCTGTTTCCCTACCAAACTAGGTTTCAACACTTATCGACCTGCAATAGTTGTTCTATTAGGTCTGCTGAACAAGTTACAATAGTCTCTTTTCTCATTACAGCTTCTGAATTTCCAAAGTTAATGTTTACATTTTAGAGTATTGTGCTTTAAATATGTTTGCATGAATATGTTTGCAACCCTATAAAGATGATGACACGATGTCAAAGGGGAACTAGAGGATGTAAGCAAGGAAACGTTTGAATGAAAATGTTACTGATTATTGTTGAGCGATGTTCCTTTCTTTATCTTTAGTTGTACTGTCTTTTGGTTCCTCCAACTCTAGTCAAGACTCTAATCTGTACATTTCAGCTTTTGTTGGTTTCAAACTATAGGCAAGAAATAATACACAGCCATGGAAAAACTGTTCATTGTTCCTAATTTAGACAAGATCAATTGAAGGCCTTTTACACTTACTCTTCTACTTAAAATATCTTTATAATTAATCATCTATGCTGTTTCTGGACTCGTCAACAAACTCTTGACGTACCTGCGGTGAAATGAGGTAGTCATTTCTGAAGGTGAAACGCTGAATCTTGGGGAAAATAGTACCTGTTCTCGGTTTTCCTTCTTTTTCTTCTTCTTCCTTCGACTTTTCTACACAGTGGCAGGGTTTTCTACCTCTGCCTGTGACTCAGTAGATTACGCCTTCAGCACACAAGTGAACTTTGGCCTCAGAATCCACTATGGATAAGGTGGACAGCATGAATTACATGTTTGGTATAAATGTTCGAACAGCTAATTTAACGTCCAAACTTTAATCTATGTGTTGGAATTGATTGGCTCCAGTTAATCTAAAATGATGTTTTAAAATAAGACAAAACATTTGCATGATAAAATGTGTTACTCCTATGGTCTCATAATCCCATAATTCAGGGCAGCGGGATAGTTTCAATCCAGATTGGTGGAAACAAGTCAATTGGAGTGTCTCAAATGTATCTCCCCAGTACGAGGATACAAAGCGACTTTCCCAATACTTCCTGCTTCGAAGTGGCCAGATTATGTACCAAAACATGACCAAGCCTACAATAGTGATAACCCTTATCGCACATACTACATCAGAGCTTCAGTACTCTGTGTTCTTCCCATGAACTGCAAACATTACAAGAATATCCAGACAACCAGATGTCCATGCAACAATTATTCACCACTTATTAACAGGAAAAAAGTGCCTCATTTTCTGCTCCAAACATTATGCAGTTATTCTGTGGAGAGTTTGACGTTAACAACGTTGTATCATATTAATCATAAGGTATTTAAAAGACCCAAGAAGAGCAATCATATGTGTGTGAAGTCCATACTGGAAACCTTGAAAATCTTCTTACGGTCTTTATAAATGACATGGCAAGTGCCTTCTTGTACTCTGTACTCAGATAAAGCAAACATGGCTAAACATGTGATTTGCATGAGCTTATTATTTTCTTATCACGCATACAGTATACAATCCTGTACTGTATCATCCTTTCAACCCAGGAATAATGATGCTTTATTGAACCTTTCTTATCATTGTTTGAAAGCTAAAACAGAAAGGATGAACATCTGTCCAGCTGCCTTTCCCCAGTTAAACTCCTCCCTGAGATGGGACAGGGTTATGGCTATGGTGATCTGGGGCTGTAGTATCATCGCATCATAATGCACAGAATTGACTTTCTTTGTCCTTGGTTGTAAAGCGCTACTTACTGACTACAATTCACAGATTATTTTAGACGGAATCGATCCAGCTGTAATTGATCTGACTGTATGAAAGATATCTTAAACATTCATCTCATAACATACTGCTTCCAGTTATGAGCCAAAACACACCTGGTGGGAGTCACCACACAAATCTTATTTTCTATTAGGCAACAGGAAGCATCAGGTTGCAAACAATGTCCTAAGTCCCTGCAGTCAACAACACTGACTCAAACTCCAGACTCTTAGTTCACAACCTTCAGAAGCAGACAGAACATTCCTCTTCATTATGCGGCCACACTTAAGAAAGCGTATGACAACCCTCAGGCTGAACTTGCCTTTCTCAGATGTGTAAAAACCAACAAAAGAAACTGAATCTGGGAATCCGTACAGTATTGAGAAAGTAGCTTGGCTAAGATCTTCACCTCAATTCATCTTATTTCTGTGGAGGAAACATTTCCTACAATTAAAACATTCAGATAGAATCAAAACCCATTTTGCACCAAAACAAACTGCTGACTACAACCTGACCAAGTTAAGAAAGTTCCTCTTTGCTGGTCTTACCCGGTTTTTTACCAGAAATATCAAGTTCATTTAAGACAGTGGATACAACATTTTTATTTTTTTTAAAGAAAATCATTTCCAAAAGTATTCTTGCTTAAAACTATGTTGCCCAATCACAATTGTAAACAGACTCTAAACCTCATTGGGTCTTAAAATGATCACACATGACCTTCGGGATCAACCCATCAAATAAAAAAGAAAGAAAGACAACCACATGAAACAGAGGGTTGGAAGACCCCCTGATTTAAAAATTCTAACGTCCAAATATTTAGAAGAAGTTTCCAATCATATTCAACAAAGACAGTCTTTACAATAATACTGTTAACTAGTTACTGGATGTCGAACTAATTGAATTACATATAATCTACCAAATGACCCCCTGGGCATCACCATTTCATGCTGCCCTTTCATGTGATACCAATGCTTGTTCATTTAGTTACATTTTAAACAGGCAAACAACCTTACTGCCTTCATTCCAGGCCCTAAAGACAAACCTACCTACCGATGTGATCGTTTAATTCATAAGTCTTCTGTAAAGTTATTAGCTTAGCAACGTCCGTCCTCTGAGAGCTGACAAAACATCCAAAGCTGTAGAGACAAAAAGAGAGGACCAAGACAGACAGGGAGACAGAAATGGTGACGAGGGCTGTTGCCAAGAGAAACAGAGCTCAGCGCTTAGCAATGATACAGTACACACACCTCTTTCTTTCTCTTCACACACACCTACCTCAATAGGGGACACACCTCAGCACTGCTCACACACACACACACACACACACACACACACACACACACACACACACACACACACACACACACACACACACACACACACACACACACACACACACACACACACACACACACACACACACACACACACACACACACACACACACACACACACACACACACCACACACACACACACACACACACACACACACACACACACACACACACACACACACACACACACACACACACACACACACCACACACACACACACACACACACACACACACACACACACACACACACACACACACACACACACACACACACACACACACACACACACACACACACACACACACACACACACACACACACACACACACACACACACAACCTTTGACTAAATTATATTGTAGTAAAATCATTTTTCAGAGGTGCTCTTAACTCACTAAACATTTGTTCTAATGCAGTTGTTTTGTGAAAGTGATTACAATCTCCCATGTAGATGCTAAGATAGATACATTTCTTTCTTTTGTCTTTGTTTTTCAGTTCTTATCGTGGCCAGCAGCCTTTCAGAACTTTCCCACACTACAACACTGTTGGAGTTTCGGTACAAATTCTGTCAGGTTGTGTCCATGATTACAAAAAGGTCCAAGAAACCCAAACAACAAGGAACCAACCCCTAAAAAGGAAGGAAACCAAAAACGTTCATACTGTATCACAGCTATGTCTGTATAGTCTTATTCTTTATGAGCTGCTTCTTTAAAACATCCTCTACTACTGTATATCATGATGCACCAATGCTGGAAGGTACAACTGAATCACAAGACTATTACCACGAAAGAGTTCAAACGTCTATAACCACAAACAACTTTGTATTACTAGAGTACGACCGCAGGAAATCATTTGACCTCAATGACAAGAGTAACCTTGGAGTGTATCCACTGACAGGGGCACATTTGAAGTGCTAACGTTAACACGATGTGTCCCGGGCTGCAGAGGGAGGACTTGCATCGCATTAGCTACATGAACGGCTGCTCAGCAGAATGGGAAACATACAGTTGCATGAATATACTGTACCGAATCAGCTTAAAGCACACGAACATGAAATTAGAAAGTGTGAGGAGACTACAAAAATAATAAGAAGCAGGCTGCATTTCTTAACACAAGTTGAAGATTGTGGGAAGAACATCTCTTATCCTATCATTTCCCCCCTTACATCTTTTGTTTTGGATGAGCAAAAAACATACAGATACATGTCCTCTAAAGACAGTAAGAGAGGGGCCTTTGATGATCAGCCCAAGACGTCATTTGTTTTTACATTTAGATGGATTTGGGTATTAATGCAACCAGAACTGCTGAAGAAGTAAAAAGGAAATACAAAGTAGAAAAAAAAGTAATGACTTCAAGGATTTAAGTACTGTGCCATGAAAACAAAAATACATATTTATGGCCTATAAAGATAAGAAAAATAAATGAGTCAGAAAATACATAATTAAGATAAATGCCATAAAGGCACTAAGATTATAATTAGGGATGTCCCGATCACCTTCTTGTGCTCCCGATCCGATTGCGATTATTTGATTTTGACAATCTGCCGATACCGATTTTTCCCGATCCGATCTTTATGCAATGCATTAAGAGAAAAGAAGGTAACAGATGAACGGCTGGTCATCCAACGCGATGAATTCAGCTATCTTGGCTGTTATTTGTTTGGCCTTTTCACTGTTCTGGGGCAGTTTCTCTTTCCTGAAAGTGTCGGTTGTTTCAGTGCCGTTACCTGAGTGGCTGCTGTGTACTCGTCGTGTTGTTGTTGGTGTTTGTTTCTCAGGTGGCGTGTTAGATTGGCCGTGTTGAACGTAGCTCTGTTCTTTCCACCATGCGGAACCTCCTTCTTGCAAACATTGCATCTGGCTGTTACACTGCCTTCGCTTTCAATTTTATAATACTTCCAAACTCCTGACATTTTCTCTGTCCCGACTCCCGAGTCACCAGCTGAACGTAGCCTCTCATTAGCTTACTGCTACTATTAGACACTGCGCCCACTCTGTTACCAGATTTGAGAGAAATAAGCAACCAGGTCTGAAAACAAGCCCAAAGAAAGCAACACATACATGATGTTGTGTAATTTTAAACCAAAACTAAGTCCTCAGGATGACTTTAAGACGTGAACATGGTCATTTTTGTTTTGTAACATAAATAAAATAATAAAAATATTTTATAAAAAATATATATATATATATATATATATATATATTTTCCCGATCCCCGATTTTTTTCTCCCGATTCCGATCTTTTCAAAATCACGTGATCGGCTCCGATCCCCGGTCACGTGATCGGATCGGGACATCTCTAATTATAATAATAGTCCACAGGTATCTAAAACAAAGTTACTCATTGACACTTTCACTAAATATTAACACAATTATATTTTTGGTCAATCATCAACAGTGATGTGGAATGATTGACTCATATTGCAGCCGTTAAAACCAAGAAAAGACAACTTATGCAATGCAACAATCTAACCAAATCCAGAATTAGAGACGATATCGAGTGTCATATCACAATATCAATACATGTTCAATATATTGCTCAGCCCTAAGAACATTTAAATAATAGCTCACAGTGTTTCCCCTAGGTTTACTCCTTTGGGGGGGTGCTGCCTGAGCGGGGGGGTGGCATT